CTCCAGCATCTGCAGTTCCTACTATCTCAGGTATAATATGCATGTCCTTAGTACAGAAGGTTGTAAGGTTACAAGCGAGCAAATACTTGTGTGCAATGTTAGTTGTGTGAAAGCTGATTTGATATATTGACGCATGTGTATATGTCAGGAGATAATATCAGGATATACATTGCCTAATAGCAGAATTGAGATTCTCACCAATTTGATGTACATTTGTCTGCATTTCTGTCCTTCAGTTAGAATGAGGAAAACTTGCAGTTTTAATATTTCAGGTTGATTTCCATTGTTTTCTCCAGAAACAACTGTAGTGGTATAATAGTGAAAAAGCAATGTTGTTCAGTTTATCCTGAAGACCTCGCCAATGAAATAATCCCTATTTAAAAAATGATCATAGTCACACGTACTGTGGTTCTTGAGAAATCCCCTATTTTCATCATTCAATCACTAACATTTGTTGCTGTCTGTACCTGTCAGGTGTCTGTACCTGAAACTCTAGAGCTTCCTTGCTAAACACCTCCATCTCTCTGTCCTGAAAAATCTTTTGAAAAGGCACCTCTTTGAACAAGCTTTAGGTTCACTGACCTCCTATCTCATGATTCATTGTGGGATTTTCTTTGCTAATGCTCTTGGGCTGTTTTGCTACATTTAAGGTAACTTAAAGTTGTTAAATTCTCAGTGATAGCTTTGTGCTGTGTAATTCATTGTAAAGTTCCCATAGTCTTAATGGGCCATGGTCTGCTGTCTCACGAGAGAGAAATGGCTAGTGGGTGGTTTAACCTGAAAGTCACCAGGCCTCAGGTGAGGGAGAAGTTGAGAAGGAGAGTCCTTCATAGTAACTCCAATCTGTGTGAGAGTTGAATCCACGCTATTAGCATCATTCAGCATCGTAAACCAGCCTTCAGGCCAACTGAGCTAAACCAGCTCTTATTTGAGAAACTATAAGCCAAACCGAAGTTAGACAGTTTGCATTTTTCTCCTCATACCATTGCTGCCTGGAGATTGCCACTTTGTTTACAGTGTGTTAATTTCAGTAAATAAGTAGTTGTTCATTTCTAGTTTTCGTTTCTGCTCATACATGGGCAGAGATGGATTTTCAACACTGTAAGGTTGGCTTTACCTCCGTTTCATCAAGTCTTTCACTCAAGCCAAAGATGCTTTGCTTCTGTTGCTGTTGTAATCTGCACTATTCATCAAATGTAGATCATCCAGCCTGTCAGACTTATGACTAATTTCTGTGCACTCCCTCATGATTAACCTGCATTATTCTTAATGAGGGGAAGGATTTTTAATATTCATTCCAATGATACCTTCCTCTAATTGCTGTGGAGAAGATGGTGGTGAGCTACTGCCTTAAACCACTGCAGTTCATTTGGGACACCCACCATGCCATTAGGGATGGAGTTCCAAGGTTTTGATCTGGTGATACTTAAGGAACTGCGATTGTATTTCCAAGTCAGGATGGTACATGGCTTGAATTTGCGAGCAGTGTTCCTATATATCTGCTGTCCTTGACCATGTGGATGGATGTGGTCGTTGGTTTGGCAGGTGTTGTGTCAGGAGCCTCGGTGAATTTCTGCAGTGCCACCATAGATGGTGCACGTTGCTGCTACTGAGCATATTGAAAGTGGTGAATGGGATGCTGATCAAGTGGGCTGTGTGGTCGTGAATGGTGCTGAGCTTCTTGAATGTTGACAGAGCTGCCCCCATCCAGGCGAGTGGGGAGGATTCCATCACACTCCTGACTTGTGTGTTGTAGATGGTGGACAGACTTTGGGGAGTCAGGAGGTGAGTTACTCGCTGCAGGATTCCTTGCCTCTGACCTATTTTTGTAGCCACAGCATGTTTATAGCTAGTCCAGCTCAGTTTCTGGTCGACGGTAATTGCTAGGATGGGATTCAGTGATGGAAATGTCATTGAATGTCAAGGGCAGATGTTTAGATTCAATCTTGTTGGAGATGGTTATTTCTTGGCACTTGTATGAGGTGAATAATACTTTGTACTTAACAGTGCAAGGCTGACTATTGTCCAGGTCTTGCTGTATATGGACACAGATTGCTTCAATGTCTGAGCAGTTTGCAAATGGTCCTGAGCATTGTGCTGTCAAGTGTTTTTTTTTAAAATTTGTTCCTTTTTTTTAAACATTGTCAATATGAAGCCATTCTAAAAATACTAAACATAAGACCAGCTCACAGATGTTCATGTAGATTCGAGCTGCTACTTGCAAAACCAGTGCAAGCAATCGTTTTGTTGCCAGGTGCAAAAGCTGTCTCTTCTTCTCATAAGTGTTCCAAGACTTGACATGCAGGATGTAGATTAAAACATTCGTAACTCATTCATCAAGCGATTCTACTCATGCATTTCGACCACTCCAGATTTGTTGCCATAGTTTAACTTTTAACTGGATTTAATGCTGACCTGTCATTGCACCCCTCCTGTCCTGTTCCTTCAGCTCTCCAAGTCAATTTCGCCTGTGCAGTGCTTATCTTTCCAACGAGCTTAAGCTCCTGCAATAACTCCAGAATGTAAAGAGTTTCCAAAAATAGAGCAGCTGCTAACGGGTTAGAGAGTGTGAATGCTCATGGTTTGGGTATGTCTGTTACGATTGCAGCTCTTTTCCATTTTGCTTCTTTGGAACTGAATACCTGGTCTATAGTAAACTCTGGTCCTAGTAACTCAATGTTTTGTTCTCTGTCACATACTTTAAAGATTTGCTTTTGTTATTTAAAGCCTGTTTTCATTGATCTTAGTCATGTTTACTCAATCATTCAAATCGCTTGAGCTGCGTTTACTCTTCCTGTGTGACGTTTTTGGATAGATTTTTCACAGCAGATTGGTGAGGTGCAGGAAGGAGAAAGTGTGTTTACCAAACATTGCTTCTCTTGTGAGTTGTTCATAAGATGCAGAGCAGAAGTAGGCCATTTAGCTCATCAAGCGAGCCCCACCATTTAATTATTATGGCTAATCTGATATTCTGTTTCTCTCTCTCTCTCTCTCTCTCTCTCTCTCTCTCTCTCTCTCTCTCTCTCTCTCTCCAAAGATGCTACTGGACATGCAAAATTACTTCCAGCATTTTCTGTTTTTATTTTTGATTTCCCTCCTCTGAATTTGCAAGCCAGGAGTATATTGGAAGACCACCCACTTGCCTGAATGGTGCAGCTTCGACAACAATCACAAGAAGCTCGACACCATCCAGGACAAGGTAGCCCACTTGATTGGCACCCCATTCATAAACATGTACTCCATCCACACCAATACTCAGCAGCAGAGTGTGCCACCTACAAGTTGCGCTGCAGAAATTCACCAAGGCTCCTTTGACAGTACCTTCCAAACTCCTGACCTTTTCCACCTT